TACACTAATAAAATTTCTCTTTTTAAATAATATATTAAAAAATTAGAATTAAGAACAGATTTTTAAATAAAAATTTTGTATTGAAAATATCAAATGATACTCTTTATGAAACAAAAAAAAATTTTAAAATAATATCTTTTTTGTAAAAGAGAATGAGTATATGATTCGGTTTGTAAATGAAATATATAGATTTTCTGGTTGTTTAGTGGTTATTGTTGCTTTTATTTGCATCAAGTAGGTTAAGCTTGCAGTCTTATCTTTTTGCAGGTAAACTGAGGTTTTTTTTAATCAACTATGGATTGCTGGATTCTACGGATTGCCCTCACCATTACATTTGTTCGTTCGGCATATTTCATGTTCTATTTCATTCAATTGATACTAAATAAAAAATAGTTAAACTGAATAGGAAAACTAAATTGTTCAAAAAAATGAATAGAAAAACAAAGTTTAGGAGATCTAAATACAACATTGACAGTAATTAAAAATAATAATACATATGTTTTTGGGATGATAAAATTGCTTGTAATTTTCATTCATGGGATGATAAATATTGCTACAATAAAGACACATATTAGAGTGATACAAAACAATCACTAGAGTGATACTAAAAAGCGTTGCGTAAAAGCTGAGCATCTGTACATGGCGACAAGTGGCATGGCCACACACGGCACAATACAATCGGCCTGTGTGACTATGTCTATAAGAGTATATAGAGCCATGTGACATTTGAATCTGCACTTACCAAGAGACTGTCTTGGTTTGGTAAACGACAGTAAAAAGCAAGTGATGACTCATATCACATCAATTTTACACTCATTCTATTTTCACATTCACACACACCTAAGGAACTCTGACATTGATTGATGTTTTCTATATCATATTTAGAGACGGCGATCACGAGACCAACATTGGAACTCCTGTCAATAATTTCAATTACTCTTTCCAAATTAAAATACTGTTTTAAACATTCCATACAAAAAAAGGGAAAGGAGACTGTATTTGGGAAAATGTTTCTTGTATTTATTAGGTTACCAGACTAAAACAATAAAAACGATTTAGATAAATACAACGTAATGTACATATTTCTTCCGTTTTTTATTAGTTGTCGTTTTAGAGAATTTTATTTGTTTTAAATTAGTTGTTGTTTTCAGTTTTCAATGAAATATTTATTAGTTTTTTATTTTTATTTATTATACAATTTATTTTATTATTGGTTGAATTGTGTTTAAATAGATAATTAATGATATTTTTATATTGAAAAACTAATACAATTAATATTTTCTTAATCTGAGTGCATAACCTTAAAACGACAACTAAATGAATCTGGAGGAAGTATTTCTTAATACGTATACTCTTATAGTTAATATGAAATGAACAATTTTATCCCAAATACAATAAAATCAGGGTTTAAAAAATGTATGTTCCTCGTGAATGAAACTTAAAAAACCTTAATTTGGCCCTCAATCCTTTAAAATCTTAACCGGTAATACTGATTCCAACATAACATTTGTTTTTGAGTACTTATGCATATAAATACAATTTAGAAGATATATGTGTCGATAAAATTACCATTGTACTTTTCCTCGATAACGTTTTATTTAAATATATATATATATATATATATATACATAATTTTACGTAAAACATTTGAAACGTGCACTATATCTTTTTCATTTTGATTAGCTAAACAAATGAAAAGCGTAGATTTTGAAATGATATCAATCAAACTTTGATTAAATATTACTAATTTCCTACTGTTGCAGATCTCATATTTTCCAAGTCATTCGTGTTTAATTACTTCGAACAACTTTCCTTTTTCTCTAATATAAGATTTTTCAGGTAACAGCATATATGAGTTTAAGAAAACTTACTCCAAATGTGAAATACCCAATCATTTTCATTTTTTTTTGTTTCAGTAGGTCAAAAAAGAAAAACAAAATTTCCTTTTTAAATTGAAATTACATCGAAAGAAGGCTGCATAACTTGAAATGTCATGAAATCTCGGTTTAACTTCAAAATGTTATAAAAAGAAAAAGAAAATTTCTTTTTAAATTGAAAATACATGAAAAGAAGGGTGCATAACTTGAAAAGTCATGAAATTCGGATTATCACTTCAAAATGTTATAAAAATTACATAGAACTTCGGCTAATTTATTTCAATGTATGCTATGATGATCGGGATGAAATGTTTAAAACTTTTTAAACGTGTTTGTTCTTTCAAGTCTCAACTGATGTGATAACCACTTTACAATATTGCACGATTTGAAATTTATGAGGAAAAAACGATACGACAACAACCTTTAGGGTTATTGACAAAGTCGATATGCATATATTAGTAAATGACTGAAAATATGGAACCAAATAGGAAATCATAGATTTATCCAAAAAAGAAAATATGCCAAAAATAATCAATCAACAATAATGCTGTCACTTGACATATTCCCCCGTCTTAATAAACAGATCAATTTAAACCCATTATGAAAAAGATCTATAAGTATTTCAAATATTTATATAACCTCGACCTTTTTAGTATTTTAGTTCTTCTAGAATGGATATTCTTGATTAAGATGTGTTCGTTTCCAATCTCAATTGTAGATTTAAAACTTTTGAGTTATGATTAATCTTTTACGTCTTATATATGGAATTATATAAATAAATCAAATTATGTGTTTCTCTGTAAAGATCGATATAAATATAAACATTAATATATATATATATATATATCTTATTATCAGAAAATGACAAACTCACACTAGAAAATTTGCGTACATGTTATACGTTTCTTTGTGTTTACTGATAAAGTTAAATTAAGAAACTTACGTTTATGGTTTACGCTTGAGTTTTTGCTTTTTTTTTGCATGTAATTTTCATGTTTGTGATTCAATTAAAAAAAAAAAAAAAAAATATATATATATATATATATATATTCTGCTTAGCATTAATTATTGCGTATGGCGTTTAACGTCCTACACTAATTACAGTTCTATATATTAAAAACGTTTAGAGTGATATACAAAAGAAAATTAGATTTATAGAAACCAAAATCTAATTACTTTAAACATTTCTTTTGAATTAAATTTTAATTTCCGAAAACGTAGGTTTACATAAACAAGTTATACAGTTCTCTTTTACAACAAACAAACAAAAGATGTGTTTGCAGCAAAAGGAAAGATACAATTTTTTTTTTCTAAACTTAGCATCACTAAAAAAAAATTTAATATTAAAATAACTTTTAAAAAAATTATTGCGAAAAAATAAAAGACTAAATAAAAAAATAAGAAACCAAAACCTAATAATTTCATTTATTTATTGAAAGTAAACAACTGCCTTACATAATTATTTGTACTATTTTTGAATTTTTATATTTGGTATGTTAGGTTTGAAACAAAACTTACATTTTGGGTTATTTTAATTTTTTTTTTTTTGAGAAAGGGGTTATTATTTAGGGCATTTTTCAATTAGTAAATAATTCTTACATTGATATTTATACAGAATGAAGAATTAAAACTACGAAATAAAAGGAACAACGAAAAAAAAAATGTTTGTAGAATAAAATACGCGAGAACTTTATTACCTTTGTTTATAATTGAAGTATTTGTAGTCGACAACAAACAAATTGAAGTATTTGTAATATCTTAATAAGTGAACCCTTTAAATTTGTGGCAAAGATGCATTGTAGTCGTAAAAGAGAGTACGTAAAAAGCGCAAAACAACTTTGGAAAAAAGAAGAAGTAGATGCATAATTTCGAAGGGTGCCACATAGTCATATATGAGTATGATATATTTTAGAGTTCATTAGCTTTATCATGGCAAATTTTCATCTTCATCCTCCACCTCACTTTCTTCCCATCACTATTTCTGATATTTTGTTTTCCCTTTTCATTACCGTGGATATTTCACGATTTTAACGACATTCTTTTATTGTAATTAAATAGATAAACAGATATTTTCCTCAAAATTTACGTTTTATTCACTACAAAAAAACATGTCTGTATCCTACAAAATTTCCTACGAAAAATTTGGTAGAACATTTTTTTCACCATATTCCTACGCAAATACGACGAAAAAGAGAGTTTAAAGGAAATTCGTAGGAAATTACCTACGAATAAAAATCGTCAAAACACTGGTAGGAAACTTCCTTCCGATAACCTACCAAACTCAATTTCGTAGGAAAACAGGTCGGATTATGGTAGCTATGTCGTAGGTTAGGTTATGACTTTTAGATTTGTCAGTTTTTCGTCGAAATTCTCCTACACGTTTCTGACGAAAATGTTTTTGTAAGATTATCGTAAGATATCTGTAGAAATATATCTGACGTTGCAAAAAACTTAACTTTGCTTTGTCCCACATCGGAAAATTGATAAAATTAAGCTGAGAAAACTGCACTATAAATAACAACTTTCTATTTCTTCCATCTAACACTCACTTTGTCAAGTGTAAGACCTATAGTGAAAAATATACATCAATTGGGCCTATTTTCAAACATGGAAAATAATCATTTACGAGCGTGGATGTATAATGATAGGTGGGATACAGCTACCGGGAAAATTACAAATGAGGTTGCCATAGGACTCACTGAGTTTATGCATTTTGCAACAAACCATGAAACATGCTTAAACAGCGGTAAAATAGTTTGTCCTTGTCTATGTTGTGATAATAAAAAATTCATCACTGTAGATAAAGCGTGGAATCATTTATATAATCACGGGTTTACGCCAAATTACAAATTTTGGTATTATCACGGAGAGAGAGATGTCGTGATTGACGATAGTACTATTAGACAAAGCAGTGAAATAGAGAGGTCTGAGGAACCTAGGATGCAAGTACAAAACATAAGTACGCTCCAGATGGTTAATGATGCGTTTATGGAATATGAAAATAGAGTAGAAGAGCCAAATTATGAAACAAGGCAATTTTTCAATATGTTAGATGCAGCAAAGCATCCCTTATACGAAAGTTGTAAGATAGGTCATTCTCCTTTGTCAACTACAACACGAATTATGAATATCAAGACGGACCACAATTTGTCTGAGGATTGTGTTGATGCTATTGCTGATCTTGTGAAAGATCTATTGCCAGAAGACAATCTAGCACCAGCCTCATATTATGCGATTGAGAAGCTTGTTTCTGGTTTAGGTTTGCCATATCAGATGATCGACGTTTGCATTGACAATTGTATGATTTATTGGAAATCAACTGCTGACTACTTGGAATGTCGATTTTGTGGAAAACCTAGATTTCAGAATAATGGTGGAAGGGTAAGAGTGCCGTTTAAACGTATGTGGTATTTGCCATTATCAGATAGGCTGAAAAGGTTATATCTGTCAAAGCGCACAGCAGGGCCTATGAGATGGCATCAAGAACATTCCAACGAGGGAGAAATAGCGCATCCGTCAGACGCTGAGGCATGGAAACATTTTCAAACAGTTTATCCATTGTTTGCATCTGAGAGCAGGAATGTAGATGTTGGTCTATGTACGGATAGTTTCAATCCATTTGGGAAGCATGGGAGAAAATATTCTTTGTGGCCAATCATTGTCACTCCTTACAATTTGCCTCCATCACTATGCATGAAGCGAGAGTTTCTATTCCTAACGGTACTTGTACCTGGTCCTGAACACCCAAAGCGGTCTCTTGATGTGTTTTTACAGCCTTTAATTCATGAATTGCAAGATCTTTGGGAGCATGGGGTTCAAGCCTATGATGTGTCACGCCAACAAAATTTTACAATGCGTGCAGTTCTAATGTGGACCATTGGGGATTTTCCAGCGTATAGAATGTTATCTGGATGGACAACGCATGGAAGGTTATCATGTCCATATTGTCAGGACAATACAGATGCTTTCCAATTGGAAAATGGACGGAAGACTTGTTGGTTTGACTGTCATAGGCGCTTCCTACCAATCTCGCATCTTTATCGCCGGAACAGGAGGTTATTTATGAAAAATAGAGTTGTTCTCGAACCTCCTCCGCCTGAGATTGATGGTAATCAGTTATGGAAGCAATTTCGATATTTTGATGTTGATACAACAACAGAATGTGGGGGTAATGGACATGTCATGGTGGGCGGTTATGGAGAATTCCATAATTGGCACAAAAAGAGTATTTTCTGGAATTTACCATATTGGAAGGATCTTTTGTTGAGACATAATCTTGATGTAATGCATATTGAGAAGAACTTCTTTGACAACATCATGAATACTGTCCTAAACGTCCCGGGGAAAACGAAAGACAATTTAAAGTCAAGGTTAGATTTACCACATTTATGTGCCCGTGAAGCTCTACATGTATTAGAAAATGGAAATGCTCCAACCCGAGTTTCAGATTAGATGGAGATTCCAGAAATGCATTTTTTCATTGAATTATCAATAATGTGAAATTTCCAGACGGTTATGCTTCTAACTTACACAATTGTGTGGACAATGATGAAGGTAGATTATATGGGATGAAAAGTCATGATTGTCACGTTTTCTACCATTCGCATTTGCGGAGCTGTAACCAAAATCTGTGCATGAAGCTATTGCAGGTATAATCCATTTTATAATGTACAATTTTACATTATTGTGATTAACTAATTGATTATTGGTTCTTGTGTGACGGTAGGAGTAAGTGCTTTTTTTAGAGATCTATGCACACGATCACTTACAGCTGATGAGATTCAACAATTGTCTCAAAACATACCTGTTCTCCTTTGCAATCTGGAGAAGATTTTTCCACCATCCTTCTTTGATGTAATGGAGCATCTTCCAATTCATCTCCCTCGAGAAGCAGCACTTGGTGGCCCTGTCCAATACCGATGGATGTATCCGTTTGAGCAATTCATGTTCCACCTAAAGAAAAAAGTTAAAAATTTAAGTAAAGTGGAAGGATCTATTGTTTCTCAGAGCATTAATGAAGAAACATCCAATTTCTCTGCATATTACTTCGCCCGAAGTGTACAAACAAAAAGCAGAAAACCAAGTCGCAACGATGACGGAGGGGAGAAGCCTACATACTTGATGCCTGTACCAGATATTTTCTCACAAGTTGGTAGATTAAGTGGAATAGTTAAGAAGAGGTGGCTTACTGAGGAAGAACATCACCACTTGCATACTTACATTCTTCTTAACTGTCAAGAATTATTGCCATACGAGAGGTAAACCTATTTCATATGTTTCATAAATAGTTAATTTTTCTAATAAATAATTAATTCTAATGTAATTTGGGTTTATACAGTATCTATGTGGAGCAACTTACGAGTCAATATCCGTATTATGATGAAAATGAAATTGGAAGACGAAAACAAATGGAATTTGCACAATGGCTGCGATTTTATGTGAGTTTTTATGAAATAGTTTTTAAAATGAGTTTTTAACAATTACTAATTATTTACAAAACAAAACAGGTCCAAACATGTCATTGGAGAGGGGAATCGGTAGAGACTTGGTTAGAAGAACTGGCTGATGGTCCTTTAACGCTCGCAATGAGTTCTCCCATGTACTGTACCCGGGGTTATGCATTTAAGATATTCTGTCCAGGATACAGTTTGAAGACGGTGAACTCAGGGATATGTACCCAAGCAGGTGATGATGTCTATTATGGTGTGCTGAAAGAAATCTTGGAAGTTGAATATCCTGGACTAATCAAATTAAAATGCATAATATTCATGTGTGATTGGTACGACCCTTCTATCGGGAGAGGTGTTCGGCTTACCAAATTTGGTGTTACAGAAGTCAACTCTTCTAGAAAACTTAACAAATACGATCCTTTCATTTTGGCTTCGCAAGCAGACCAAGTGTGCTATATTTCATATTCTTGCGTAAGACAAAGACAAGATCCATGGATTACTGTTACACAAACATATCCAAGGGGAAGAGTACACGGAGTAACAGATCACAATCCTTTGCAACAAACTGTTCTCGGTCATGTAGGTTCTGTTGATCAATCTATTGGAGAAACTCCTTTGACACAAATGGGAGATATAATAATCGATGATATATTAGAAGTTTCCGAAGAAGAGATTGTAAAATGTTTATGACTGTTTGTGCAAAGTAATAACAACAAAGTAACATGTCTTTGCAGGAGCATACTCGGCAGGATTTTGAAAGGTTTATGTCTCAAGAGAGACAACTCTGTGACAGCTCCACTCCAGCCTTCACATTAGATGGGTTCGACCCCAACAACTATCCATGGCAGCCTAACCCTGAAGACAATCTTCCCAGTCCTGAAAGGAGCCCAAGAGTACCAAACCGTGGTTCTACAGAGAACGATGATGGTGAATCACGAACAGAAACTTCATGTTGTGTTGATGATCTGTTGCTTGCTCCTGGTCGGCAAAGCCTCTTGTACCTTCACCCTGATCGTGAAGGAGGAGCAACATGGTAACTCTTCTATGTTAAACAGATTTTAAAATCATATGTTTTATACTTCACATGTTTTTGCACCATACAAATCAACTTTCTAATCACTATTATCCGTTTTTTTTTCTAAAGGTTTAGGCATGACGCAACAGGGAAGATCACTAAGCAGATATTGAAGATGATGAAGTCTTATCTCCCCAAATCTTATCCTACATATCGAAGCCTCCCAATAGCTGTTAAAAATCAGTGGTTTAGAGCTTTTGCGGTTAGTTCTGATGAGTTTTTCCTCTTTGTATAATTATGATGTTTGGTTTTTGCTAACTATCTAACAACATTTTTTTTCTCTTTTACAGCAAGAGTTCAATTGGGATCCATCCATCACTGAGACAGTCAGAACCGCTTATGACCTTCAAGCAGATGCATCATTCAGGTCAAACCTTCATGAGTGGAAAGAGACCCTGAAGAAGAAAAGACCATACGATGCTCCTGATTGGATGAAGGCAAGGAAATCTCTCTTTGGAGGTTACATGAAAATGTGGAGCACAGCACCGGTTGCAAAGACTTCAGTGAAAAACTCCAAGAATAGGAGAAGCGAGAGAAAAGGATTGGGACAAGCTATACACAACAATGGTCCTAAAACCTTGGAGAGGAGATGGGGTGAATTGGTAATAAGAATCAAACTACTTTTTAATATCTGCTTGTTATTTTTTTATGTTCTTTTGATTATTTTCATTGTTTTTTTGTAGACTGTGGAAGGAAATGGACAGGAGCCTGACATGCTCACATTCATAGAAGATGTGCATACTTCTAAGAAGACAAAAACAATCACAGATATGAAGGCTAAGAAGATTGTTGAAGAGACTAAGGCAAAACTGGATGAGTTTGCTTCTCAAAAGCAAACTCAAGGTGACAGCTCAAACATCATCACTCAAAAGGAGATCAACGATGTTGTCCTCCAGGTAAGTTAATGCTGTTACAAGTTGTTATTTCCTTAGTTTTGTTCAAATAGAAACATTAGAGTCTTTCTTAAGCTTGTTTGGATGTTTGGATGTTTAGTGTTTAGATCAGTTGTATTCATTTTGGATCAATTGTTTTCATGTATGGATCACTTATTTTCATACTCGGATCACTTGTTTTATTGTTTGGATGATTTGTTTTCATATACTTGTTTCCATGTTTTAAGTTTTAATAGGTTTGGTGTTATAGTTTGGAATACATTGGTTAAGCTTTGTTTTTTTTTTCAACAAATTCCCCATGTTAGAGGACGTAGATTCGGTATTGGAAGAATAGCTGATGGTGGATGCAAGTCTTTCACACATGCCAACACTACAAACCCATCACAAGATGCATTAGAAGAGAAGATCAAGATCTTGGAGAAATCTCAAGTGGAGAAGGATGCACATATTCAATACCTCATGCAGTGCAACAAGCTGTTTCTTCAGAAGTTCCCTGATCTCAGTCTGCCCATTCCTCCTTCAGCTCATGCCAACGATGACGAGACGCAAGAAGACGAGACGCAGGCGTAGGAGAGACCACGTAATGGGGTGTTAGTTTATTTTTGGGGGTTAGTTGTTTTGCTTGTGAACCAAGTTTCAAGTTATGTATTTGTAATGCTTATTTTGGTGTTTTGTAAAACAACTTAGATACTTAATCTAATTATGGTATCTTCTATTTTATATAATGCATCTTGTATTTCTTATATAATTTTCAAATTAAAATGCATTTTGAAAATTTATTAAATTGGTAGGAAATATCATGTCGTCGGAAATCGTTAAAATCGTAGGATAAATTGGTTGGAAAATGGAAGAAAAAAATTCGTAGATTTTTTGTCGGAAAGTTTGTGGTCGGAAAATGAAAGGCGAAAATCGTAGGAAATTTGTAGATACATTTTCGTCAGAATTAGGAAGGAAATAATGCGAAGGTTTACAGTGGTAAATTGGTCGGTGTTTGTTTACGGTTTTCCTACCAAAAGATCCGACGAATTTTTCCTATCACTTTTTTCGTAGAAAATTTCCAACGAAATTCCTTCCTTTTCTTATTTCCGACGGTCAATAACCTACGACTAATTTTGGTCAGAATTCCGTAGTAAACAGCCATTTCCTACGATTAACTGACGATATTTTTTTGTAGGAAACAGCCATGTTTTCTTGTAGTGATTTGTCACAAACTAGTTGATAGTTTTAATATAGAAAATACAACATTAGCGAGAAAATATCCTTTCATACGATATCATTTGTGTAGATGTCGATACATGTTTAGATAACACGAAAAGTAGCCAAGTGGAACATCGAGAAGTATGATGTTGAATCCTACCTATATCCATGCGACATACACGTTAAGATAAAACGCAATACAATACTGTTCTTATTTTATTTCTTGAATTGTATATGGTAGAAAAAAATAAACAAAAGGTAAAACTAAAATTCGACCAAAAAAAAAAGAAGGTAAAACTAAAAAAAGATAGACCCTTTGTGATCCTTTAATCACTTCTTTTATAAGAAAAAATTGATTTTTAGTGGTTATACTATATAGTGACTAATTAACTATGAGATTGTTTCTGTTTCGCTGAAATGGTTTTAAAACTCACCCACTCGTTAATGCAACTAATAATATATAAGTATATGTGACTATCTGTAAAAAAACTTTGACATATCGGGTAATAAGTTTGATAAAAAAATAAGATATAGAGATAAACACAAATATCATGGTTACGAGTATTAATAAAAATTAGTTACGGACCTAATTTTGGCTGCCAAATCAAGGAGTAGAATGGTGCTGCCAAGCAACATAAATTATGGTTCTTGATCAAAACAAAAAAAAACATAAAATATTGTACACGTGGCATAGACCTAATGGTAAATGTTCATGTTGACTGGTACGATGAACAAAAGGAGCGATCACGGTTAGGAGTTTTCATGGTTCGCAGCTGCTGTTGGACCGCCCAATGGCAACTTCGATGTGACTTTTATATTTTGATGCATATAAACTTAATTATTTTACAGCATAAGTATATCATATTCGTGGTTAAGGAGTTTGATATGGCTAATGATTATTTGAGTTACTGTACTTTGTAATTGACTATAGCGAAGATAGTAATAATTAATAAAATGACAAAGTTGAATACTCGATTTTAATTTCTTGTTCATTACGTGTGTTACTTTGTTTTTCTTAGCTACTTACTTTAAAGATATTAAAAAAAAAACAAATCAAAAGAATTTGTTATGGATTAACTCCAAACTTTATTGAATACTATTGTATAATATGAATCGACGACATTGGATGCATTTTGTTTTAGATAACTAGATTAGGTTCTGTATGATACGCAAGTAAAAGATAAATTATATTAAATTTAAAACTTAATATGACTTGTATAATTAGATTCGAAGATTTATGTTTAGTTTTCTAGAAAATTTATTTTGTAATTTACAATTAAAAAAATCAAAATTGATTTATTTTATCTATAAACATGGTAAACATCTATTTGATATGAAGGAGAAGATTCCAAAAACAAATTTCAAATCTTATCTATAATCATTCAGGTTGAAAATTTATATTTATGAATTTTGTCGTTTGATTCTCATTAAAGAATTATCATACATTAGCAAAATGTTATTAATTAATTTAATTTCATATATCATGAATCTCATACAATTTTTATAGTTTATATTTATAGTTTATAGTTATTTTCTATTTTTTATTTCCTTTTTCAGTTTTGTCAGTTTCCATTTAAATAAAACAAAAATTATTTTCCTGTTTTTGTTATTTTTTTCTTAAAAAAATAAATAACTTACAATAGGAAAGTTTATATTATTATTATTTTGTTTCCTACACATGTAATGATCTTTTTATAGTGTTGTATTCTTACGTTTTTTTTAAAGTTTCCATCATTATATTATATTGTTTTTTAATTAATATTTCCTTTTTTAATATTTACTTGAAATTATTTGTTTTTATCCTTTTATTCATATTATTACGTTGACATATGTCTTGATCTTAATTAACAATCAATAAAAATTATTTAATATATCATATTCATATAGATACTTTCAGTTTTATATAGAATCTTCAATTCTAAAAGTCCCATAAAATAACATATAATTTTTTCCTTTTCTCATCTTTCATTCATATTCAGATATGTTTTCTGTATTTTTAAATTATTTTTTCTTTTCACTTCATTTTTAAGTATTTCTAATGTATTGGTAGAATTTTGATTGAATTTTTTTTTATAAATATAATCAAATTGATGTTTTGAAAATATTGATATGCAATTATGTTGATTATAAGAAAATAATGATATTTAACATTTGATTTTCATGTTATTCGAGAAAGGAGAAGCACTTGATTGAATATCCAAGTTAACATTTCTCAAGCTTTTGATATTTGCTAATATGTTTTAAGAATATAATTTATTACTGTCATTGATATCTAAAATCATCAAAACCTTAATCATTTTTAAAAAAACTTGCCATTTATAAAATAAAGTATTGTTTATTTTGTACTGAGATATGAAAATCTTAAAACAGGTTTTTTTGTGTGATTTTAGTATTCCGACATTTTAGTTTACTGTCGCCTCACTTAGCCATTGTGGGTTAGTAATTTCGGGTTTTATAACTCGATTGTATCAGCTCAAATTTTATAGAGTTTTGCCAAAAAAAAGGATTTAATATTAGTGTGCGAATATATATAGTTTGATTGGCTAAATTAAGAGGTATTTAGGGAATCGTAGGATCGATGGTTAAGTATTAGGGAATCATATACTTTGAAAGGTGACTTTAATTAAATGAAACGAAATGCATAATGATCTTCAATGGCTAACTAGAAAGCTAACAGCCGATTAGGGCTTTATTGGTTACGCCTAAAGTAATAAGTAACCACTCGTTGAATGACTTTAAGATAAACCTCTATCGACCGTTCTTTAATTTATTTCTTTTTGTTTTAGAAGAAAATAGAATTGTAGAACTCATTCGTATGAGTATGGTACTAAAAAATATAAACGTAGATAGGTTTGGCGTAAAATGGTACTAATATAATAGACGCCAAGAGTGCATACCACATAAATATATCATTCATTTTTCAGTTTTTTAAAAAACATCAATTGGAAATATCTGAGACTACTTTATCAAAAAAGAAAATAATAAAATATCTTAGACCAATAATGTGACTTGTCTTTCTCTCATCGCTCTGGAAACGATGTCGTCTTAAACGTATTAATATTGCACTCTTTCACATGTGAATCCTCTATATATAGCTCCCATTCATTGGCATCGTAAAAATATATCTCCCATCATTGGCATCGTAAATCCATAGAGCTTGGCTTTCAAGAATTAGAAGAGGCTTCAAGAACTCTTCTCTCTCTCTCTCTCTCTTCGCTTGGTCTTCGATCTTTTACGTCCATACTTGTTTTCGATTGTCCGACCTAGAGAAATAATCAAGAAATCAGTAAGAAATGGCTCTACCTCACAGTGTATGGGCATTTTCGTTTGGAATCATGGGTATGTATATATAAGCATTCGCAGAAAGATTAATCAAATCTATTCTAGCAGAAGCTCGTTACAACATTCTAAGTAATGTTGTTTACATGCTAAAAAAAACTCATACTGTTTTCTGCGGTGTATATTTTCAGGTAACATCATATCATTCGTCGTGTTCTTGGCCCCAGTGTAAGCATCAACATGCTCTAACCAAATCTCTCCTTTCTCTTTGTCGTTTTTTCGAGTTAATTAAACGTCTTTCTTCAATCTTGTGCAGGCCAACTTTTGTAAGGATATGCAAGAAGAAATCTACGGAAGGATTTCAATCTATTCCTTATGTTGCAGCGCTTTTCAGCTCCATGCTTTGGATTTACTACGCTATGCAAAAAGATGGCTCAGGCTTCCTTCTAATCACCATAAACTCTGTTGGGTGTTTCATCGAAACCATCTACATCGTCCTATTCGTAACCTATGCTAACAAGAAAACAAGAGTACGTTTGATCATAAACAAGCACATATATACATAAATGATTTTGTATCCGGTTTGCTAACATCAAGATGGTTAAAATGACGTTGCAGATTTCCACTTTGAAGGTTCTTGGTCTCTTGAACTTTTTGGGTTTTGCTGCCATTGTTCTTGTCTGCCAGCTCTTAACCACAGGATCGACACGTGAAAAAGTTCTCGGAGGGATTTGCGTTGGATTCGCGGTCATTGTTTTCGCAGCTCCTTTAAGTATCATGGTACGTATTATGTATATTTCTAGACAAGCATATAAATTGAATGATTTATATATTCGAAACGATCCATGTTTTACATGTTTTTTACCTATAAATATTCAAATTAATAGGTAGTCTACGTACTGTCTTTCATTTCCTGGTTACATGGAATATATATTATATAATTCACTTTGAGAGTATTACAATAACTTTAAAACAATAACAATTTGGTGCATGCAGAGACTGGTGGTACGAACAAGAAGTGTGGAGTTTATGCCATTCTCTTTATCGTTGTTTCTTACACTTAGTGCCGTCACGTGGCTATTCTACGGTCTCGCTATTAAAGACTTCTACGTTGCGGTGAGTTCATTTATTTTATTCAGTTTCGATCATTTTAAACGCATATAAGAAAAGAAGCACAACAATATTATATGATTAGGTTTATTATGGGTGGTTCTTTGATAAAGTAAAAAAGAGTACTTTACCTTTTGTCTCTTTTCCGCAATTCAAACTAATTATAGATGTAAAACGCTTTTAGTCTAATATGAATGTCGTGGCGACGAATATATGATTTTAAACCGTACGCATATATTTTTCGCTTTGGTTAGCATAATATACAATAGTTGGACCCACTAAAATGTACAATAGAATACTAGAAACACAAAATTGTGATTTGTTCTGTTGCGACGTCGGTAATTTTTTACATTGTATATATATTTTTTTTGGCCAACTTCTTATGTCGGCAATAAATGGAATATTAATGTCCTTTACATCTACTTTTGAAGCTTCCAAATGTGTTGGGCGCATTCTTAGGATCTGTTCAAATGATTCTCTACATAATTTTCAAGTACTACAAAACACCCGTGGCTCAGAAGACAGAGAAATCCAAATCGGTTTCCGATCATTCCATCGACATAGCGAAGTTAACCACCGTTATACCCGGTCCGATTTCGGATTCAGCCGTTCATCCACCGCCTGCTCCGGAGACTCAGATTCAAGTAACCGAGGTCAAGAGCCAGAACATGACCGGTCCGAAAGATCATAACGACAAGGATGTCCAGAACCAAGACCAAGTTTAAGTAGTGAATCTTATTTAGAGACTTATTAATAAGGCATTGTTTGAGTTGTGCACTCTAGCTAACTTTTTTATTATTATTATCTTTTTGTGTTTTGTGGTTTTCGTTTACTTTAGTTAGGTTCTCTCTTGTACCTCTTTCCTCCCATCATTTTCTTTCCAGGTATCTGGAAAACGTGCTATGGTCAATAAATAACTCCTTTCCAAAAGTTAAAAATTTATCTTTGCTCTATACTAGCTAATTAATATTCCTCTTTAGATTGATGTATAAATAAAAAAAAATGTTTTGAAATCACTCGTAATTTGCCATTCCACACGGTAATCACTGAAATAGTTTTGCTCTTAAACAGGGCACGCCACCTTCGAGCGTGAAACTTTCTTTAACGCGGTGGAACATCTGCGAGGTTTACAGATCTTATTCGGCTATAAGTCTTCATAATGATTACCAAATTATTTTAAACTGAAAAGAAGATACAACATGAAAACAACTGTCATCAGAGGTTAATCATACTTTATCAATGAATGAGTACAAATATTTATTATATATACGGAAGCAGATTATAAGGAAAATCGTAAAACATAAATACAAGAGATATTCAAAAATATTAAATATATTTTATTAAGCCTTTTCAAGATGGACCCCGATTAGTTAGTCCAATCTTCACAAACAATGAGTCGAAATAAGCATCGGGTGAAGAGAATTACCACGAGCGAATAAGACATAAGTTTGAAAGGTGACTGTTGTCCAATGCAAAATGGTAGGACGATTGCGTAAATTAAAAAATCCTGTGAACATCAAATGCCTAGTGAAGTCTAATAACAGTAAGGTACTGAAAACTGCTAACAACAGTATAGTATTTGTAGCCATCATCGAGAGAAATCCCATCACGTAGAAACCAAAAAGAGGAGGAACACATAGAAGTAGCAACACTTTTCGCATTCACCATATCTGTGCGATGAAGAAGATCAACAACATAGTACTTTCTTGAACGATTGACTACTCCTGATATTCGTCGAATCTTCCAGGAGGTATATAGATAAAAATAAATTTAATATATATTAAATTTTGATATTTGTAATTAAATTTAATTTAAAATGTAGGTTGTCCATAAGAAAAAGGAGATAATCTTAAGAATAGGATCTATTCGAGATACTCAACCAGTTCGTCATACGTTCCATGCCGAAAAAGACCAAAAGATGATTCAGTCGTTCTACGGGTCAAAATTGCAACTTTAAAAGAGTCTCAAACCGTATATCAGCCGGAGGTTAAGGAGGAATTCTCAAAGTATGATTCGATTTATGAGATCATTGCCCATGAAAATCCGGATGTCGCGGTTGCCTTGCGAGAAAAACGGCGAAAGCGTACAGCAGAAAAAGCGGCGAGAGCGGCGATACAAGGAGCGACCACTAATGGTGAGGAGAGAGGCAAGGGATCAACCGCAAGTTCCTGGCAACCAATCCTGCGGCGAATATAGATTTTGAGAATTTCAAAAATGATCTCGATAATTAGGATAAGATTTAATTTTGTTGTAATACAAATATTTTATATCACAACATTTATTAATTAATTTTTATTAATAACGATTTAATGCCGAATTTTTTCCGACAAATTCACGTCGAGGGAGATAAATTCACGTCAAATTTGTTTACTACAAATTGCAATCGATTTTACGATGATAGGCCTTACGTCGTAAAATCATCATTAAATTTACGTCGGTAATTTATTCCTGATGATTTTATGATAATTTAGGTTTTTTGTAAATTTTCCGATGATTTTACGATGAATCCGATTTTACTTCGATCATTTTTGTTATAAAGATGTGTTTTCTTGTAGTGTAAAATCATGAGTGAGAAGCACTTATATAGAAGAGCAACAAAGTCTTGACAACTGGAATTAAATCCTCAGTAATGATTATGCAGTAACATATACCCGTAAGTAGAAAGTGACATGAGCTCGTGAAGAAAATTAGGGAAGCATCCGTGATAGAATTGCAGAATTTAACTTGTAGGAAGAATTTTCGTGTACCATATCTAAGAGCATTGGTTTTTATTAACAAAGTTAGCTGGTTGCGCCATAAACCCCTCATCCTGTGAACCTTGGAGGAAGACATTGTAGACTCTAGTTGGTGAAGTGGCCAATCGTGTGAGACAGCAACATTGAAGATAGTGTGAATTGTGGGTGTTTTAATAACCGAACTGAATGAGAAAAAAAAAAAAAAACTCTCATGCGTGGTGAAAGTATTTAACAACTAGTTTCGCCTGTCAAAAAAGAACCATCAAATAAATGACTAATCGTAAAAAATCCAGTGGCAACCAACTAAATTGGGTGCCACCAACACATGAACAAGTCCCCAAGTTTGATTATGGATTTGAACATGGTACTCTTCAACTTCACTCATGCATGTTGCCATCATGATTCAGCTAGAGCTTGAATGAAAGTGGCTGAATCCATCTATGTCGTCACAACACCTGCGGTAAGACCCTGTTTTGCTAAACTTGCATCAACTAATTTTCTATTTCCTTTTTTTATATCTACAAAACTTATATACTGTATATTGTATAAATACATACACTACAAAAACCTGTTTAATTCCGATCGAGAAAACTATCAAAAATCCATTGGAAATAGGTCTTACCAATAATTTTTTATGGATTCAAATTATAGATTCTTGGAAATTCAAATCAGTCTAAAATCCTTCAAAAATTTTGACGATTTTTCCAATAGCCACACATAAAGTTCTGGATTAGCATATTAAGAAGAAAAAGAACATATATATTACTATGGTCCATATTTAGAAAAGACACGTAAGAGAGATCATATGGGGAGGCTCCAGATTTGAGGCTCATAGTCACATGGGAACCCTAAAGGGGTAGAGCAAATGGTCTACCACGCAAAAAAGTCTTTTGTACCCATTTCTACTTTCACAACGGTCTTCTTGTCGAGATTCCACGTCCATTGTTTTGTTCCGATCGACTTATACGCATCATAAATTTACTCGAAGTGAATCTGAATCATTCTGTATGCACTATGCACTATGCAATCTGTTAACTCAAGTAGTATAAATTATTTAACTGACATATAAATTTATACATGAGAATATATAAAGCTATTTGGTCATACCAATATGAATTCAAGTACGGTTTTACATTCGGAGAAGAATGATTTATGCAAATTGAGTGCAGTATATGTATTATTGTGGCTAATCAATTTTGAAAAAGCTATTAATCAATAATAGAAACTTCTCGGTTATCATAAAAGAACAATGAAGTTTAAATCAACATCATGCACTTTTCATGTGAAGAAAGTAGTATATAAAAAATCATGTTACGTCCGTGTGAATATACATCTTAATTCATCTTAGGAAATGGGTTCCACGTATAAGTTTTTTTTTTGTTTTCTAGCTAATCGGAAGCTTATATGAATGCATCATTTACAAAAAATGTCAGTGCTTTGGGTTGCAATGTGGCCAACTAAATTGATCCCCTGATGAAAATTAAGCACACAATCTCTCTTCTTTTTTTTTTTTATAAGATTACATATGCCGTGTGAACCTAACCGTACTGCAAACCAAACAATATATATAACAAACGGAACAATAGCTGCGGAATGACTAAATTTAAAGTTAAATGGTAATTATAATAACTTCAATATGGGTATTAATATTTTCAAACTTTAACTAAAGTTTTCTAAGAATTATTTGTTTTTAAATCCTGGAATATTATATTAATAGTCTCAAGCCGAGAATTCAATATGGTTTATAAATGAAATTGAATAGAAACCAAGAAAGAGAAATCGCGACCACCAACCATCTGAGAAATAGGATATTTCATGTCATCGATGACCTCACCAGAAGTGTAAGAAAGGAGCTTTTCGGCTCATTGCTAACTCTATTGTCTATGTAGTCAGAAAACCGACTCCGACCACCGATTCCCAAACTGGAAAGTTACCTAACAAAACATATTGTTTTCAGATAAATTTGTATAAGCTAACAAAACTATTTTAGTCGAAAATCTCTTAAATATTGTTTCGAATAAAGTAATTTTGTTTCACATACATCTTCCGCATTTGGTGCATTCATTTGTTAAAATTGCATCGTCCTGTTAAGTAAGAAACGTACCATATATATCTATCAATATTGTTATGGTAACTTACAAAGGAGGTCCACATAACAAAGCCGCTCCACTGCATATAGACTAGAGACACGGGATGTTGAAGTTAGATAGGACTCGATTGAAGTTGAGTGGTTAGAGATGAAAGGTGACATCGGACAAACGTACAACAGCTATAGCATCAAATTGCTTGTATTAACCACTACATAATTAACACAGCGAAGTACATGCAGGCCCATTTAGAACACTTTAGTTTTCTCACAAAGCCCAATTGAATAGAATACCAAGAATAACCAATTAAAAAATTAACCGGCAGCTGAACCGGATCATGCAATTGCAATTACCTATGTCACTGTGTGGTGTCAGAAATCAAAGTGGCATAAAAAAGAGTGGATGCTTCTCATTGTGAACCACAGTCCACATGGATGATTTAGGCTCTGAATGGTGATGGTGACAATGTTTTTGGTTGTGCAGAAAAAGCGGTTTTAGAGTGTGGTATGGTTCAACTGTAGTACGTACAGGAAAATATATTTGCGGGACAAATACAATTTGATTGGTGAAAAAATAATTTGCAATCCATAATAAAATGTTTGAATGGTGAATAAGATTAAAGCGATACATATTACAGATTATAGATAAATATATTAAAAAATATAATAAGTAGTATAATTGTGTTCATTTGTTTCATAATAATAAATATATATATATATATATATATGTATTCAAAACACAGTTTGTTCAAATTTTTAATTAAAAAATTAGATATAATTTAAAATTTATAAACTATTTATAAATACTATATGCTTCGTTAAAAAGTATTTCTATTTTATTACATATGAAAATAATATTTAGTTTTAGATTTTTAGGTGCATGTTGATGGATTATATTCTTATTTACAAAAACTAAAAATTATAAAAATGAAAAAAGTAGTTGATGGTTTTTTGAAGAGAAACCCATAAATTATAGATTCTGGTTTTTCATTGAAAAATAGTTAACTAACTTAAAAAATAGTTTTCCTAATTTGAGTTTTTTATAAAATATATATGATTGGTATTAAAAAAACCATTAACATATAAAAAGT